CCCTGCTGCAACCAAATAAATAAATATTTTAAAAAAACAAAAAAAACCCAAGGGCCTACTGTATAGCATAGGGAACTCTACTCAGTATTCTGCAATAATCTATATGGAAAAATAATCTGAAAAAGAATGGAGATATATATATATATATGTGTGTATAACCGAATCACTTTGCTGTATACCTGAAACTAACACAACATTGTAAATCAACTATACCCCAATATAAAATTAAATTAAATTACAAAAAAAAGAAGACACACCTATGGCAAATATTGATAAAATCCTGAAAAAAATTACCAAAATCATTAGCCATTAGGAAAATGCAAAATAAAATGACAATGAATACCATTATATGCCTGTTAGAAAGACAAGGATGCAGACCAACTGGAATTCGCAAACACTGCTGATGGTAATGCAAAATGGTACAATCCTTCTGAAGAACATATACTTACTATAAGATCCAGTAGTCCCAAGCCTAGGTATTTACCCTAGATAAACGAAAACCTATGTTCATACATAACATGTACAGGAATGTTTATCACTTTATTCATAATCACCAAAAACTGAAAATAACCTAAACTTTTGGGAAAAGGGATAAACACCTGTGAGTCTGTTCATACAATGGAATACTACTCAACAATTAAAAGGAATGAATTCTTGATATAGGCAACAATGTGGATGAATCTCACTGACATTATACTGAGTAAAAGAAGTCAGTCTCAAAAGGTTATATACTGTATGATCCCATTTATATGACATTCTGGAAAAAGCAAATCTGTAAGAGTAGAAAACAAATCAGTGGCCACCAGAGGTTAGGGGTAGGAGGAAAGGTTTGATTACAAAAGGGGTAGCAGGAGAAGATTTTTTGGTACAATGGAACTGTTCTGTGGTCATTATACAACTCTATGCATAAGTTATAACTCAGAGAACTGTACATACAAAAAAAGTCAATTTAACTGTATATAAATTTTTTAAAATAATAAATTAATTAAAATTTTTTAAAAACCCTTTATGCCAACAGAAGAGAATTTAAGTTGGCAGACTGCAAACCTTACCGTTAAGACAGTCTGCTATATAATTTATTCATTCATGGATCTCTCAAGAATTGGTAAGAGATTTATATAAAGAAAAGCTATAACACCCTTGCAATAATTATTTTCTTAAATACTTTTGATAGCTCTCTCTAGAACTATTTTTGCTAAATGTTTTTCAAACTAATCTTAGAAGTCAAGGGACTGGCTAATGGCTTATAATTATACCATTTTTATTCCCCCCTGAAATCCTTATCAGACCTTGACTAATTCATGTGCAAGACAAGAGAGATCGCTTTGCTGACAGAACCTCTTACTTGAAGGCAATCCAAACAAAGTCAAGTATACATTAGGTCCATCTACAGAGAGGTGCATTTTAACCCCTGAAGTATATACTAATCACTGGGGGAAAGGGAGGAATTGCCCAGGGATAAGGAAGCTTCTGTCCTCACTTTCCACCGCATACTCTATTCTTTAATAGCTCTTCCTTAAGGGAGGAGGGGTTGCTCATCTGATTGTTCATAGTCTTGAATTCTTTGTGTGAAACCATGGCATTGAAAAGACATTTGAATTTGTGAGCATCTTCTTTCTTATCCTGGAATAGGCCAGGAAATATCCCGACATTCTCCTGTGTGCTTTTTTTCACTTCCAACACCAATGTCCAGTGGTCTTACTTCTTTCTTCTGCTTTGACTTTATCCACAAATTGGTAAGAATGCCTTGATATTCCCCCACAGAACCAACAGTAGCATATGGGAAGTCCAGACATTTTCTTCCAGAACTTTTTCCTTTTCTCCCAAGTGGGAGCTTTTGCTATAGTCACAGACTAAGTAACCTGGGTCAATTTAGTAGCATGCACAGGAGCTAAAATATTTTGCCATGTTGTTTGTGTCACCCTCTTTCCTTTAGCACTGGTGGTATGCATCTAAATCTTCTCGAATTGCTCTATGAAGGATTCTAACCACTGTTTGGGAGTAAGAAAGCAGGAGGAGTAGATTAGATATTTAGGAAAAGCAAAGGGCCTGCCTTTGACCTTTTGCCTCAGCCATGGCCCCACCCCCACCCCAGCTTAGTTTAACCTATGTTTAGGGATATATGGTATTTACAGAGAAATTCTGTAACTTTTTATTTCTCATCTGTTATTAATTTTGTGTAATTCCTTTAAAGGGAAGAAGCAATGAGTGATAGCAGCCTTCAGGTAACTGAATTCTCAAATAATTAGTAGCCTTGGCCCTTACCTTTAAGGGGTTTAACATTGGTATGCACAAAACTAAAACCCTCTTAAATTACAAAGCCTAAGAATGGTATAAGAAGGGGGAAAAGTGTAGAACTGAATTGTCTACCCTATGTAAACTGAAAAACCACCCAAAGAACCTGCCCCACTTAAGCCCTGTTCCTTATAATCTGTAGATGAATTGAAACAAGAGAATGCAAGACTATTTTATACTATACGATGAGAGTGAATCGTAACTAGAGTTATATAAGGTTATCTCTCCTTCATTCCATTATACTTCTGGACTTAAATTTGCTTCATGAATCTCTGTCACTTTTCACCTTGCCTTTAAGGTAAGCAAAGAGGCAGCAGAACCATTCAAAGGCAGGACAGTCTATACAGGCAAGGCCGGAACTAGGACTCAGGCTTCTTGTCTCCCTTTGCTAAAATCCAGAAAAGCTACAATGGGTTTTGAAGGGCATAGTACCCACTGACCCAATTTTATGAACCGCTCACTGTTAATTTGTTATTATATTCATCTTGAATTTTCTAACACTTTTTATTAATTTTGGAATAACCATAGCACTTGCCTCTGTTCCCTCCCTTCCTGAGTGTCAGGTTGGCTTGGAGAAAGGGATGGGGGAGTATTTCCCCTCACTTAGTACAAAACATCTGGATCCCAAGATTAAAGATATTTAGAAGAGCAAGAGTCCTAGAAATGAGGTTGTAATGCTGAAAATCTGGCAGAATTAAAAAGCAATTCATTGTTCTGATCTTCTTTCAGAATAATATCACTACATGAGTTAGAAGACTTATGATCAGTAGATGAGAAGGTAATTGACATAATAATATTTTTAGCACCCTGTTCTTACTGCCCCAAAATGCTTATGACTTTTCAAGAGAAACTCAAAATTAAAGAAATGACCCAAAAAGTGTTTCCCTGTGAGTTTCTGTATATATCCTATTCAGGTCAATTTGTGCTATCTCTAACAGTTATGAAAAGATAGAACTAATACAAACTTGGGGGAAAATGGAAAAATAAAGCCCTACCCAAACGGTGGGCTCCAGAAATTCCCCACTGCTCGTTACACAATCTTCCACCTATTACCATGCTTTTAGAAAAGGCCTAGTTAACATCGCCCAACAATCCTCACTGCACAACACCAGCCCATCCCCCCCCCTCGGAAGTGTAAGAACACTTCCCTTTGGCTATGTCTGACCTTGGACCAAAAAGCAGCTATCCCTGAAACTAAGGTATTTTGTCTGAGGTATAGAAAAGAAAGAGAATTTGAAGTCAGAAAACTCCAGCTGAGGCTGGCAAGACAATCTGGAACCACCACCCCCCTGGGGGGTGGTAAGCTAGAGATGATACTGGTTACCTCAGAGGGCAATCTGAAGATCGAATGAGATAACGACCTGAAAATGCTTTTACAAAGTGTTAAGTAGCTTATAAATGCAACAAGGAGCTGCTATTTCCCAACGTCACAGATTCTGGGTTGCTTGAGTGTCCTTCGCTGTACAGAACACCGTCTCCCCTTGAGTTATTTGGGGTGGGCAGAAGGGCTCCTGGGCTTTCCTCTAAGGCATTTCTCTGAGTCACTGCCTGTGGTGAGTGTCAGAACGACAGAAACTCATTCCTGCCTCCTCAGCTAGCCTGCCGATTTGGCGCGGGGGGGGGGGCTTCCTTTTCTCCAGTTTTGCTATGTGAATTTTTTGAAGGCCAGGCTCAATTCTTACCTTTTAAAAATGCATTATACCTCTCCTCCCTAGCCATCTGAGGTCAGTGGCCACAGCAAATGCAAATCAACCTTTTAAGTTAAAGAACCATAACAAAATTAAAGACTTCCAGGCCCCTCTACTCTTTTCCTTACTTTTTCTTTTTCCTTCTTTCCCCCACAACGGTCTTCAATGATAGCAGAGCCTGTCATTTAAGAGAGGGGGAAAAAAGACTGAAGCTCTCTTCCCTAGACAGAGCTTTCTACGTTAATAATGACCACGCTTTCCCCGCCACTCCCTAACTCTCCTGACCTCACCCGAAACACGCCCATGTCCTTGCTGGGGGGCTGGGGAGGCTCACTCAAATACACACACGCGTACGCCAGTCCGCCGGTCAACCGCAGGCAAATGACTCTTCGCCAACTTGTAGCCACAGAGAGCAGCAAAGGGACTGAGTCCTTCACCGCCAGCTCCAAAAAGACACTGCAACCGCCAGCGGCGCCGCAGGAGCAGCCTCTGTACTGCAGCCTCCGGCCGCTGGAGTTTCAGATCTAATTCCTTAAGGAGTACTGCTCTTCCGCCCTTCGTCCCACTCCCTGGGCTTCACACACTTCTCTCCCCAGGAGGTCGGGAGGAACGGGGTCACTCGATCACTTCTATGGAGGGGGAAGTGGCACTGAAGAAGGTTCCCACCGAAGTAGCCCGAAACCCACTACTCTTTGCCCCACCTCTCCACCCTCCCGCTCAAGTAGGCGCCTGTGCTGCTGTGAAGGTCCCAGTTCGCAAGGTGCCTGAGTCCGACGGGATACGGCGCAGCAGGCGGCATTAGCAGCGGCGGGGCAGGACGAAGGCTGAGCTTCTTACAGGACAGATGGGGCGGGACTGGGGAGAGGGGCACTCTCCCTCCCGTCCCCCGCTCACAGGCAGTAATAACTCCAAAACGCACGGGTGGGCCGAAGAGAAAAGTCTTTTCTCTCTATCCTCTCCCATCTCTTCCCTGCTCCCCTTCCGGACACCTGGTGAAAAAGCAAGGTGCTGGTGTACCTGGAGCGAACACCATGATTTCCTCCAGCCGCTGCGCCCCAAGGTAAGGAGAGACAGGCAGACGGACGGACAGACGGAGGGTGAGCGGCAGACCAGGTCTTGGGGTCCGGTGCAGGTGGGCGCGCGGGGTACGCGCCGGCCGCGGGTCGGGACGGTCAGCACGTCGGACAGCTCCACGGCGCGCGATCCCGGGGCCGCAGGTCCCGCCGCAGCGGCGCGCTCAGCCTCCACAATGCACTGCTCTGCCGGCGGCCACCGCGGCGGCGGGAGGAGCAGAGCTGATGCCTGCTCAGTCCGTTCCTCATTCCCGCGCCAGCTCAGCGTACACTGCTGCTCGGGGAGCAAAGCCTTTCTACCGCTTCCACAGAGAAGGACGGACAGAAGAGGAAGAGAGAAAAGGTAATTGCCCGGCTTCCCGGCAGGGGGACAGCTAATTGCTTCTAATTACCTGCTGTCTCACGCCCCCGTGGATATTGGACTGACATTTAGGATGGGTTTGCCCTTTTTTTTTAAACATATATTAACTCAAAGAGCTTTACTCTAGAGGCTGACTCTTGAGTTCTCCGAGTTGGGCTAGCTCTGAACCGAGGGGTGGGGCCTCCAAGTTCATCGGTCCTTGAAGTCCAGGGCTGCTCTCTCGCCCCAAGTCCCAACCTTCTACTAACGTCAGAAAGGAAGCTGGAGGGAAGGACAGGCTGAAGATGGAGCGCGTGAGGAAGGCGCCGCTATCAGGCCCCGCTCCCAGGCGACTCTGAAAGCTCCCAAGCTTGGAGGCCCCCAAGGTCATCACATTAGGGACAGCAGGGCTGGCCAGCGCAGAGGAAAGACCTTGGTGGGGCGGGTCTCCTCCACCAACAAACACACACCCTGTGAAAGGCAGGGCCAACAGAGTTCCCTTCAAGTGTGAAAACAGCCCTGAGACCCATCCAGAAACATCAATCCTTCCCCTGCCTTCACCCAACTGAAAACCATGGCCCGGTGTACACCCTGTTCTACTCTAAAGATGCTGGGACGTGCCCCCAGGCTCACTTCATGCTTCAAATACGCTGCTCATTTTAAAGCATTATCTCGTTCCCCCAAGAAATGCTCGTGCAGTACGGACAGCCCACACTAGATATTGCCCAGATAGAAACAAATCCACCAGGGTTACAACCCCTGAGCTAGGGTGACTTAAGAATACTCTAGCCTCAAATCAAATGTCAGTGGCTTTGGGTTTTAGCCTCTATTTTTGCAGCTGAATGGAGTTTTCCAAGAACGAAGGGTGATCAGGGTCATCTCCAGTGTTTTACAGGGTTTCTTCACTTGCACCTCTCCCTGGAAAATGGAGCTTTTCTGAAAATGCAAGATTTCTTAATAATCTGGTTGGTGGCCACACGTTCTACACTCTTTTGGCAAATATTAAGCATTTTTCAAATAGCCTTATTGGCACTAGTTTTGTTCAAAGGCATCTGATAGATTGCAAATGCAAATAGTTCTACAGCTCTTGAACTACAGTTTGCATGGAGGCATATGGGCAGCCTAAGCATAAAACAATCAGTACTGCTCTTACCACCTGGCTCAACATGGGCTTGAACAGATGGGGCCTACCTCAGCAGCAACAAGATACAAGTCAGCTGACAGGCAGGATGAAGTGTGTGTATGCCAGGATGCACTCTTCCCACTTCCCTAAGTTACTCCAAAAGCCAGGGACCAATGATGCTTCACTCTGTCTTCTTTGCTTTATCACCAACAGAGGTGCGATGCACTATTTGAAAAAATCTTTTCTTTTTTTCCCAAAAGATAGGTATTATATTATCCCAATTTATAAATAAGGCAATTGAGGCAGAGTGAATAGTATTTCGAGGTTTCATAAGTTTTGCCTGCAGTCAGGAGTCAGAGGATATTCCTGGCCCCCTTACCTGTGACTTTATAGTTCCTCTTTTATTTATTTATTTGAATTTTATTTTATTTATTTTTTATACACCAGGTTCTTATTAGTTATCTATTTTATACATGTTAGTGTATGCATGTCAATACCAATCTCCCAATTCATCCCACCACCACCACCACCCCCACCGCTTTCCCCCCTTGGTGTCCATACGTTTGTTCTCTCCATCTGTCTCTATTTCTGCCTTGCAATCCGGTTCATCTGTACCATTTTTCTAGATTCCACATATATGCGTTAATATATGATATTTGTTTTTCTCTTTCTGACTTACTTCACTCTGCATAACAGTCTCTAGGTCCATCCACGTCTCTACAAATGACCCAATTTCGTTCCTTTTTATGGCTCAGTAATATTCCATTGTATATATGTACCACATCTTTTTTTTTTTGCGGCACGCAGGCCTCTCACTGTTGTGGCCTCTCCCGTTGCAGAGCACAGGCTCCGGACGCGCAGGCTCAGCGGCCATGGCTCACGGGCCCAGCCGCTCCGTGGCATGTGGGATCTTCCCGGACCGGGGCACGAACCCGTGTCCCCTGCATCGGCAGGTGGACTCCCAACCACTGCGCCACCAGGGAAGCCCCTGTACCACATCTTTATCCATTCATCTGTCGATGGGCATTTAGGTTGCTTCCATGACCTGGCTATTGTAAATAGTGCTGCAATGAACATTGGGGTGCATGTGTCTTTTTGAATTATCATCTTCTCTGGGTATATGCCCAGTAGTGGGATTGCTGGGTCATATGGTAATTCTATTTTTACTTTTTTAAGGAACCTCCATACTGTTCTCCATAGTGGCTGTATCAATTTACATTCCCACCAATAGTGGGAATTGGTGGGAGTGTATATGTAATCCACACCCTCTCCAGCATTTGTTCTTTGTAGATTTTCTGATGATGCCCATTCTAACTGGTGTGAGGTGATACCTCATTGTAGTTTTGATTTGCATTTCTCTGATTTGCATTTCTCTAATAATTAGTGATGCTGAGCAGCTTTTCATGTGCTTCTTGGCCATCGGTATGTCTTCTTTGGAGAAATGTCTATTTAGGTCTGCTGCCCATTTTTTGACTGGGTTGTTTGTTTTTTCAATATTGAGCAGCAGAGCAGTTTATATATTTTGGAGATTAATCCTTTGTCCATTGATTCCTTTGCAAATATTTTCTCCCATTCTGAGGGTTGAAATAATCTTTAAATGATTGAAAGACCTCTTTCTCTAAATACGCTCAAAAGGGGGCTCTCTTTTACAACCTTAATTTTTTAATGAGTTTATTCTGCCAATGCATAAACAATTACTCATTATTAAGTTCAAGAAAAAGCAATATAGTGTAGGAACAGAAAAAAAGACTCAGGAATCAGTCAGATCCCAGTAGAACATTTCCAGTGTTTACTAGCTCTGTGACCTTAGGTAAGTTACTTAACTGCATTATCTGCAACAGAAGGATTAAGGTATCTTGAAGGTTTGTTGTGAGGATAAATGTGATAATGGATTAATAGATTAATTAAGAGAGCACAGCCCCAATTAAACACATTCCAGGAAATTATTGACACCCTGGGAGTAGAGGACACCCTACAGGAATGCCAACTAAATATGTTAGATCAGTACTTCTCCAGCCTGACTGTGCACATGAATCCCACGGAGATCTTGTTAAAATGCAGATCACGATTCAGCAGGTTGGGCTGGGGCCTGACATTCTGCATTTCTCACAAGCTCCCTTGTGATGTCCACACTGTAGGTGCTGCTGGTCCATAGACTATATTTTGAGTAGCAGGGTGTCGATGTGTCAGCATTTAAAAAAAAAGAAATTACTTCTATCTCCTCCAACGTCAGAGTTCATCTTTCCAAGTGTCATAAATTTATTTATTTATTTTTGGCTGCATTGGGTCTTCGTTGCCGCATGCAGGCTTTTCTCTAGCTGTGGTGAGCGGGGGCTACTCTTCGTTGCGGTGTGCAGGCGTCTCATCGCAGCAGCTTCTCTTGTTGCGGAGCACAGGCTCTAGGTGCGCGGGCTTCAGTAGTTGTGGCACTCAGGCTCAGTAGTTGTGGCTCACGGGCTCTAGAGTGCAGGCTCAGTAGTTGTGGCACACAGGCTCTAGAGTGCAGGCTCAGTAGTTGTGGCACACGGGCTTAGCTGCTCTGCGGTATGTGGAATCTTCCAGGACCAGGGCTCGAAACCGTGTCCCCTACATTGGCAGGCGGATTCTCAACCACTGCGCCACCAGGGAAGCCCCCAAATGTTAAATATGGAAGGAACCCGGATGGATTCCCACTGATTTCCAAGCTACACAGAGGCCAAGATGGTAGTAGAAAGAAAGAATGCCTGAAGAAGGTCCCAGAGCTCGTTTGATTAGCCTGCTATGGCAACAGGAAATAACACGACCCAGTAAAAACCAATGCAACAGGTTAAGGACAGTTCTCAGCCCCATCCTCAGCTCTTCTCTGTCTTTCTTCCTCCCATCATCTCTTCATTTTCTCTACCCAACACACCACTGCTACCTAGCCAGAGGACAATATACTCCCATTCCGGTGTTTTGTTTTGTTTTTTCGGTCACATGGCTTGTAGGATCTTAGTTGCCTGACCAGGGATCGAACCCGGGCCCTCGGCAGTGAGAGTGTTGAGTCTTAACCACTGGACAGCCAGGGAATTCCCTCCCATTCTAGTTTTTGCTTGTTTATATTTTAGTAAGAACAATTAATTTTATTCCCAATAAAACCAAGGCACTTTAATAAATTTTTAATTTACAGTTATTTCATTAGTAAATTTTATATTCAACAATACTATCTCTAATTTCTACTACTTAGTGGAATTGTTTTGATGGTTTACTTTCAATACCCTAAAAATGATACTAGATTTTTTTTATATCTTAATGTAAATGATCCATTTAATAATAGAATGCTTTCTAGGAAAATAAAAATTCCCTTCTATTCTACCACAACAGCCAGATTCTTTGATAGGTCATTTATCCAGTCTTAGCCCACAACCTCACTCTGGTTTTTTGTTGTTGCTGTATCAATTTACATTCCCACCATCTTGTTTTGGCTTTGCCACATTTACATTTTGTTTTGGCTGTGCCACACAGCATGTGGGATCTTAGTTCCTGAACCAGGGACCAAACCCGTGCCCCTGGCAGTGGAAGCATGGAGCCCTAACCACTGGACCGCCAGGGAAGTCCCCTGTCTCTTTTTAAACACCTCCACTCAGGGTGAGTCACTCTCTACTCAAACAATCCATTGCATTTCGAGACAGTCATCTACCAGAGAGGCAGCCCCCAATCACCACCACCATCTATCTCCTCCAGCACCCTCGTTCCCAGTTAATGATGGTAACGGTGACGGGAAGCAAGAGGGTAAACAAGTTGGACGAGATGCCCAACTTTCTTGCTCTGGTGCTGAGCTTGTCACACTGGGCACTCCTACCCCTACAGACACTTGAACAAGGTGCTGGATGGACTGAAAGGCACAGGAAAAAGAAAAAAGTCATCTAATAGAACTATTTTACTTGGAGACTTGGGAGACTATTTTATACAAAAATGAACATGGAGGGGCTTCCCTGGTGGCTCAGTGGTTAAGAATCCACCTACCAATGCAGGGGACACGGGTTCGAGCCCTGGTCCGGGAAGATCCCACATGCCACAGAGCAACTTAGCCTGTGTACCACAACTACAGAGCCTGCGCTCTAGAGCCCGTGTGCCACAACTACTGAAGCCCACGTGCCTAGAGCCCGTGCTCCGCAACAAGAGAAGCCACTGCAATGAGAAGTCTGCGCACTGCAACAAAGAGTAGCCCCACTCGACACAAGTAAAGAAAGCCCATGTGCAGCAATGACCCAACGCAGCCAAAAATAAATAAATAAATTTATTTTTTTAAAAATGAACATGGATATACTATGAAGTAGTGATTCATGTGACGTACGAACATTAAATTGGAGATGCCAAAGAAATCACCATAGGCAGATTAGGGCGGTAACTCTCAGACTTCCCCAAGTCTCTATCCATCCCCTCTAACATTTATTTATTCCACTCTGTCTTTAGAGCTTTCACAGATATAAAACTTTGAAAACCCATTCTGAAATATGCCCACTGTTTCCATGATTTGCAGTTCACCTTGGCTCTAGCCATACCCTGATTCTTTCCATCTATACGCATTTTAAATGCATTACTCAATGAACTAAAATTTTAAATAAGTTTTAGCACCTCTGAGGACAGTTGAAATGGACTGAAAAGAAGCATTTTCGTTATGAAGCATTAAACCATAATTGTTCCCGAATGTCTTAGTTTGTAGGTTTCAAATGATTACAGAAATGAAGTACTGGACAAGAACTCTTTTCTTCTCCTAAGAGCTGCCAGAAGTCGCTGAATTGGATCTAAGGAGAAGCATAGATGTGAATTAAGCAGAAATTTTTAAAGGAATAAGAGAACGTGGTATAGAGGGGTGGGAAAATAGAAAACCTGAAGGGGGAAGAAGACACTGAAAGAGCAATCATTGTGCTATCCAAACTGTAAAGCCTTAAAGAGAGTGCAGTAAAAATATACAGAGAGAGCAAATGACATAAATTGGAAAAAAAATGAAGATAGAATATGGAATAGAGAAAGGGAGAATAAAAATAATCACTGTACCACATTAAGAAAAGAAATGGGAAATGTTAAAGAATTTTGCAGGCTTAAAGAATACAGGACAGTGTCTCTGTAGGTTTGCATTTTGTGAAGCAGTTTATAAGTCCTGTGAGATTCTTTAAAAGGGACTATGAAATAGCCATATTTTCTGAAAGAAAACATCAGCAAAACCTCCCAAAGTACATTAGAACAGTTAAAATTTTGTACAATGTTTATGCAAAATAAATATTTTCCTGAAAAAACAATCTAACATTGAAGATTTTTTTTCCCTACCAAAGAGCTTTGTATCCGTGGTTCATCTCTGCACAAAAAGTTCTCCCAAATTACCAAATAAAACTTGATTCTACCTGATGACAG